TTGATGGAGAATTTGTTGTGCATAGTTCTATACAGCACCAAAAAGGGTTCTGCTATTGTTATGATGTCAATAGTAATAGTTATATAATAGTTATATATAATATTATTATATAATATTACATTATATAATAGTTGATATCATAGTTTTGCATGTAACAGCAGCAGAACCATTTTTGGTGCTATATAGAACCCTTTTCAAAAAGGTTCTATATAGAAATACCTGCCACCTTCAAGACACGTTATCAGGAGGGGGTTACTAGTCTTTAAATCAGAGAATCTCACAGAGGAGATACTGCAGTGCCGCTGTAAGAGGAGAGTAGGATGGCATGATCGCAAATTTTTCCAATTTTTCATGTTTGGTGGAGTGTCCCTTTAATGATGGAGCAAGAAAGCACAGATGGCGTTACGCTGCACTGTGACTGGACGGAGACCAGAGCGGGGAGTTCCAGCACTTTCTGTCTAATAACTCAGAGAGATGTAGCAGTGGGCAGCACTGTACGGGGGGAGTTGGGGGGTGGGGCTGGGGCGCGTGTCCAGAATGTGTGAGTGGTTTTTCTCTCTCTCTCTCTCTCTCTCTCTCTCTCTCTCTCTCCATCTGTCTGAGAGAACAGCCGAGTCAGCACATCAATACTCACCCTGACCTTCATCTGATACTCTCTCTATCACTTTTTCTCTCTCTCTCTCTCTCTCTCTCTCTCTCTCTCTGTCTGCCTGTTCCTCTCTCTATCTCTTGCTTGCTGTCTCTCTGTCATTCCTCCTGCCTCTCTTCTTCCCTCTATTTTTCTTCCTCTCTCTCTGTTCTGGTTCTATCAGTATCTGCTGTTCTGGTTCTATCAGCATCTATCTCTGCTGTTCTGGTTCTATCAGCATCTGTCTCTGGTGTTCTGGTTCTTTTAGAGTCTGCCTCTGTTTTGGTTCTGTCAGTGTCTTCTCCTGCTGTTCTTATTCTATTACGATCTATTGTTCTGGTTCTCTAAGTATCTGTTGTGTTGGTTCTGTAAGTATCTGTTGTTCTGGTTCTCTAAGTATCTGTTGTTCTCGTTCTATCAGTATCTGCCCGTTTTCAGCTGAGGAACGTTTCTCTGTCCAGTGCATTTACAGTCCGGCGCTGAGAGCTGAGAGCTGAGCCTGTAGCTTTACATCATCGTCCACAGCCAATCAGGATGAAGGGAGGGATGTGGAATAAAGTCGTGTGTAAATCTGGACGGTAATAAAACCCTGAATAGCCGCAGTTCTGTCCATCCTCAGCACGGCTGTGTGACCTGCAGGGATTAATACTGACCAATGAGAGAGGGAGGATGGAGGGATTGTCCTGAAAAGACTTTCTCTCTCTCTCTCTCTCTCTCTCTCTCTCTGCTTGTCAGAGTGGTCATTATCACTAGCCTCTAATATCACCACAGTGTGCAGCCTGATTATGGATAACAATGTGTCAGAAAATGTGTCAGGCTTAACATGTCAAGTTAAACCCAGAGTGAGAAAGTAAAAGTTAACCAGGCTTGGAAAGTTCACTGAAAATAATAAGTGCTGGAAAAGTCATAAAGTATAGAAATTTGGTTTTCCAAGCCTGGAAAAGTCATGGAATTTCCTGAACTTTTCCTGCATGCTGTTCATCCTTTCATGACATTTGAAACACTGACGACTCTAGATTACAAAAACACAGGGAGACAGCAGCCACATTTACATGCAGCCTAATAATCCGTTAATAGTCCGACTAATATTCTATCAGAATAGAATACGTCCATGTAAACACCTCAGTCGGAATAGTCTAGTCTGATTGAGGCCATTCTGAATGCAATTCTTATCCGATTGAACGAGGTGGGTAATCCTGTAAATAATCCGTTAAACAGAAGAATAATATACGTGTAAACGCCTGTATCTGATTACATTCCCTATCGGAAAGTTTAAGTCCGTTCTGATCATGTTCGTCGCGTCATAGTGAGAGTTTATACCGTTCAACATGGCGGAGCAGAAACTGGTCTGCAGAGGAGACGAAGTTTCTGCTCTGATCTTTAAAAGACGGCGGTGGGACGGACGTCCAGCTTATGTGTCTCAGGACACGACGTCTTCCTCTCGGCCTTCTTTAATAAGGACTGGTGAAGGACGTTTTCCTGAGTCTGACGTCATTTTAAAGCAATTAAAAACACAAGCACTGCTCACTGCTGCTCATCTCACTCTGACTGGACTCACGTGATGCTCGCTGTCATGGTAACGTCTGCACTAAGTGGTTCTCCGCACATGCTCATAATTTTGGATCTGATTACTTGTAGTGAGCATGAAAACAGAGATTTTCATCAGATTGTTGAGTAGAATGAGAATGTAAACACCTCAGTCTTAATCTATAATCGAATATGTTCAATCGGATTGGCAAAAATCTTGCATCTAAACACAGACACTGCGTAACGTAAGTCTTACTAACGTAAGACTAACATACCTGCGCATGGACCAACTTTACTAACATTAACTAAGAAGAATCCCGTTTAGCCCATTTAGACACATCCGTCACACCTTTGTGGATGTTTTGATGTTCAAACACGACCAAAATTAGGTAAAACGTCACTGATATTGTGGACGAGGCAGCTGTTCCATTTTAACTGTGTTCTGATTTACAGCTAATGAGGGTAAAGGTCCTTTTTCCTCTCAGAACAGCCAGTTTGTGTATTAAATTAGTGCTGGACATGGCGGAGAACAATTATGATATTTTCATATGCATCACAGTATCAGATGATATTAATGTTTAGCATTAATAATGTTATTTTTACAGTTCTATAGTTAACTGTCAAACTTCCACAACATCAGAAAAATGCACAAAATATCAAACCACTTGGCAAGAGGGACTCAGCTGTCAGTCATATTTAGTACATTCAGTATATGATTAACAAATGATGTACTAAGTATACTATACTAAGTATATACTAAAACTGAAAGGTAATATCATATTACATACCATATCACTCTTGTCAGAACAAAACCTTGTATCTCCAAAAGGTAACTTTACAGGAAAAGGACAATATTATTAACTTTTAATGGAAGTAAATAGAAAAATAATTATTTCCAATTAATTTTGGACCATTTCTGTTGGTCCTTGCATGGCGAAACTTTGACACATCATAAAGGGCAACTGACCTTTTTTAAATTATGTCAAAAACGAAGATACAAGGTTTTGTCCCAACAGCAACGATATGTTATGTCAATATCATGGTATAGATGATATATCGCCCAGCACTACGCTAAATGTTTGGCATGGAAATTTCATTTCCTATAATGGAAAATCCTGGAATGCTCTGATTCTCAGCTCTCTCGCGGCTGACCGCTGACGCCGATTCAACATGCACATCAGCCAACACAGTGCTGATCAGAGCCAACGGTGCGGGACACACCGCACAAACCACAGGCGAGGGTTGGATTGGTGTGTTAGAGCCCCTTATCATCACACACTCACCTCAAACTGTGTGGAGCTGCTCAGTAATCGCTAACAGACTTGATTATGTGGTTTCCGTTATCTATAAACATGGACCGGACGCTCCTGAGGCCTTTATCTGAGTCATGGGGTTCAAACACATCACCAGGCAGATGCTAACTGATTTAAAGTCGAATGAAACAGCCAGATTAATCTCTCCATCGACAGTGCCATTAGTTAATTTGGGAGCTTTCTTAATTTATGCCCTGCTTAAGTAGCTGCTGGCCAGTATCGAACCCTGCCATCATGTGGGCCCGTCCCAAATCACGAAATCACTCAAACTAATTAGACCTGGACTTCATGCCAGAGTGTACAAACGGGCCCTGCATCTGGAGTCACATGAATTTTACCCCTAAAAGTTTTGAAGACCTTTAATTTTGCCAAGCTGCAGTCAAATATATAATATATATACATGAAAATGAACAAAGGCCAAGAATCTGAGGTTGAAATAATAATATCACATTTTCAGCTTTTGGTAAATATTGAAAATGGATCCCACAGACCCCCCAACACCACACAAGGGTTAAAAAATAATCAACAACACATGTTATTTGACCGGGGTGCTGAAACTTTCACACAACTGTATGGACTGGGCAGTAAATAGTACCTTTATAACAATGTTTCCGTACTACATCCAACTCTTTTGTTTAAATTGCGTGGAAAGTAATGATAATGATAACAATAAATAATATAATAAAGCTTATATATATATATAAATTAGGGGTGCGGGAAAAAATCGATTCTTAGATGCATCGCGATGCGGGTGTGAACGATTCTGAATCGATTCACAAATGTCAAAAATCGATTTTCTAAATATTTAATTTATTACGTAATGTTGACGGAACGTAAAAGGCGGAGCTTGGAAGTGGGTAAGTGCAGCGCCCGGACAGTCTGTAGTGGCACATAACAAAAACATTACTGGGTGAGTGAGAAATCCGACCGGCTCCCTCTGCATTAAAGCCAGGTTAGGTCAGGAGTCACAACACAAATGATAAGAAGAGCCATTTTGTCCTTTCACCAAATTCAAACCACCTCGGGAGCCACAACATTTAATGTCCAGTATGTCTCAGTGTGTGATGATGTCCTAGTATAGACTAAACAATATAAACGAGAGCGCAGATTTACTTTGCTCTGCTTTCAGCTTCGCCTACAGCCGCTTTCCTCCCGTCTACGCCAGAAAACCTTTCCTCAGAAGTTGATCAGTTAAATGTCTCTCAACGTTCGACTGTTTTACGAGGCTGAAGTCGCTTCTTGTTCGAATTTACCCGTTCCACCTTAAATTCTGACTGAGGCGCCGAATGTAAATGTAACATGTGCTGCGTGGACATCCACTGACACTGGATCTTATTTCACCATAACTGCGCATTTTATCGCATTTTAAGCAGCTTCTCGTGCTCCAAACAAGAGCAGTGAATGAGAGCCTTCTAGTTCACTGACCACATCACTTCCATTTGATTTATTAATAATAAATATTGGAAATAAATTCATTATGGATCATTACAAATACTTTGCTTTAAACTACTGAGTCACTTAGTCACTTTAAAATGTATATTGTCCCTATATTCTGTATATATTTTGTCTATATTTAATATATTTCAGTTGTTTTTTCTTGTATTTTTATTTTTACTTATTTACTTTCTGTACAGTGATTATCTGAGCCTCACCACAAGCATTTCAATGCATAAATGTCCTGACATGATGTGCAAATGACAAATAAACTTGAAACTTGAACTCGAAACTTGAGCTCACACAGTGAGAAAATATAAATGCTATATAGAAAAAAAAGATGCATTGATAATCGTTTTATAATCGCATCGCAGCCCTCTGAATCGTAATCGAATCGTGAGGTGCCTAGATATATATATAAATATGACTCACCCAGCATGCCTTTCTCCGCATTGGACAGACACATGTCCTTCTCAGCACTGGGCAGCGCAAAGGCTACGACGAAGCACTCCACGCTGTCCGCCATGAGCGCCAACCCCAGCACCACAAACAGGCTCCACTGGAAGCGCCCGTGCCCGCAGTCCTCCATGATGTCTTCATACTGCTCTGCCAGCTCCTCCTGCTCGGACACGGCGTCCACCGCTGTCCGAGCCTTCGCCCTGGCCGCCCGGCGGGCAGCTTTGATCTCGTCCGGATGCGGGATACCCTGGTACTCGCCCTCGTACATCTGATCGTCCTCATCATGACCTTCGGTCACGTCGCTGGCGGCGTCCTCCTCCTGGGGGGGGTAGTCCGTCTGGTAGCCGTAACCGTCCTGACCACCTTCGCCGTATGTTCCGTATCCGTCAGGGTCACCGTGGTGATAGCTGTTCTGGTAGGGGTCAGCCATTATTTCTGATTTGATATGAGATTCAGCAAAACGGGGAACTATATGAGCATAATCTTCAGATCCAGCTCAGACAGGTGTTCTAGATAGATAGATAGATAGATAGATAGACAGATAGATAGATAGAGTTTACAGAACATCAATAAGACATTCAAAAATACCTTTTGGTGAACAGTTTATACAATTTAAATTAACATTTTGCACATAGGTTGTTAGTGGATACAATATAACAAAAAACCTATAATGTTCATATTCAATGTTCATAATTTTATTTTGGGCTCTACTGGAACAGATTTATAGCTTCAATATTTCAAAAAATTATTATTTTACTCATACTGTACATCTCTATTCATCCTCTGTCTGAAACGCTCTGTTAGAGCTCCTGTGTCTTTAAGCCCCGCCTCCCAATAAACCCAGTGTGCTCTGATTGGTCAGCTTGAGCTTTGCAACACTGCAGACTGTTTACATACACAAAAAGCTACATAACACACTAAAGGGAAAAGCCAGACAACCACTTTAATACGGCAAGTGACTTCAAACACATTAATGCCACATTCTTAATAATAAAGGTGATAAAAAGGTTCTTTGGCAGAACTTCAGAGAGACAATCCTGACTGACCCATTGTAGATGTGCCTAGTTTGTGCCCAGTACATAGCGTGCAAAATGTTAGGCTTGTATCATCATTAGCTTTGCATGGCCTTCATTTCTCGTCCTGCAGGCCCCCTGATGGCAGAACAGAAATCAACTTGAATATGTTTTTAATTCACACAATTAAAAAAAAATATTTGTTCCCTGTGACTCTATCACATGAACTCGGGCTCTGTTGTCTCTGTGTGTGAAATGTGACTCTGTGTTGAGCTGCTAGAGAGCAATGTGGGGAGAAGGGGAGGGGTGAGAACCCCCTGCTGTAAAAAACAATTCACACCTCTCAACAAAGAGGGCCATACTGAGATAAAATGGACAACTGTAAGTTGAACACCACACAAGGGTTGAAGAGTCCTGTACAGCTGACAATAAACACAGAGTGTTTAAACACAATATGGTAACACTTTCTATGAATGTCACCTTTGTAAGCATCTATAAACACATTCATATCATGTTATAATGCATTCATAAGACATTATAAACATAGCTATAAATATTTATAAAAATGCATTACATGTTATAGCCATGCTTATTATGCATTATGAATTGTTAACATAATACATTATAAGTACTGATCATAACAAATTATAAGCGCTCATAAGTTGTATTTGTCCGCTCTAAGTAAAGTGAAGCGTACTGTACTAAAGCCTCCTCCAGTGTTCAGAGTGAGGCTTCAAGTTGAAGGATTTACTGAAGGATTTACTGAAACACTAAAACATTCACAGTAAAGCACATTACAGGCTTCAAATGTCAGAGTTTAAACTAGAGCTGCATCAGTGTTTTACCCAATGTGGGAAAGGTAATGTACACCACCGTTAGCTTGGTATTTGTCTTTACTTTACGCTCTCCAAGCTGGGACTGACTTCTTTGGCACTGACATTATAACATGTTATTAACACTATTTATAATTCATTATTTTGACAATTTATAATGTATAATAAACATGGCTATAAAGTGTAATTCAGTGTGATTATTTTTTATAAATATTTATAACCGCGTTTATAATGTCTTATGAATACATTATAACATGTTATAAATGTGTTTATAGATACTTACAAATGCGACATTCATAGAAAGTGTTACCCACAATATAAACACTTCTATAAATGTTGACCTGCTTTCTGACTTATGCTGGCGAAAAATCCCATTTTTGGTTTTGTAAATCACACATTTCCATCATATTTCATCAGTGTTATTGAAGAAAATGCACAGTTTATCTGATGGAGCTCCAAAACAGGTGGAAATTGCATTTTATGGACAAGGATTAAAATGAACACTACAGAAAAAAGGTGCAAAAGTTGATGTGTCCCTCTCGTTAATCTGATAATTTTTCTGGGAATATTGTTTGGTTGTAAGACGCGTAATTACCTAAACAGATACAGACATGCAAGTTTGTCATTTTATGGCAAATCTGGAAAAAAACAAGCCATATTTTTGGCACTGGAGCAAATTGGTCCTTTTATATCTCCACATTGGCCTTTTAGATTTGTTTCCAAATGATATGAATGAGGATCTTAATCTCAATTGTTTTCTATAAAAAGACAGTGTTTTGATTAATGTATTATTAATGTACTATAAATCAAATTAATATATTTAATACATAATGATTTCTGATGTTTTTAATGTATTTGATTTTAGTTTTTGCAACTGTAAATCCTCTTGCTGGTGTACTGTCACTTTAAGAAGGCCCTAGCAGAGCCTACACAGGTGAGGGCGATTTGTCCAAGTCTTTAAAAGCAAGTAGGTTGAGAGAGCTTCTTCATGAGCACTGATGAGAGCAAGAAGCTGAAACGTTTGTTTGGTTTGTGTCTGTTTTGTTTTGTAATCTATTTAATGGAATAAAAATGTATATTTAATCCAGATTTTTTCGCTTTGCACCTGTAGCAATCTACTTTTTATGGAGCGCAACAAAACGTTTGTTCAGATCTCCACATTGAAGCAAATCAGATCTTTCGAACTTTGCTATTCATTGATGATGTCACTGCGCCCTTTTGGAAAGTAGGCATTTGTTTTATAGTAATAATTTATGATTTATGAGCTGTTAGAAATGAAAACAATCACATTACGCCTGACAAAGGCTGACAGTCACATCTCATTTGTCAAAGGTAAGCATAAAATACTTTATACCACTGGACTGAGCACATTTTAATCAACAAATGTACCAAATGTGAAGTTGGTATCTCGAGCCAAACTGAATATATCAAAGCATCAAACATGCCTCGTTTTACAAAAGACGTAAATGTAAAATACAAAACTGGGTTTTTAGCTTGATTTGTGTTTTTGGTAGTTAGACATACATCATTTCTGAAAAGCGACGTTCAAAAATCAAGCAAATCTGAGATGGTCAGTCTGGAGATCTTTGGGAGACACAATTTACAGAATTTACACGACACTTACAAGAGCTTCTGGCTCCGGCGTTCCTCAGTTTACAGGGACGGAGAGAAAGTCAGTTAAGTCTTCAAGAGTCTGGCAGGTTTTTGGTGGCATCTGGTGACTGAACATTACCTCAAACTGCTCAGGTCCTCCCAGGAACACATGCTGAACCTGTTAGCAAAGAACAGATGCACCAAATCAGTACGAGCAGCTCAAAGAGACTCAGTGAAAAGACATCTGGAATGATGACTGTATGTGAGGGTTCAATGTGTGAAAATATCCCTCTTAGATCAGCACTGCTGATTAGCGCCCCCCGTCTTCACTTAGACTAACGTGATTTATGGCGCGTTAAAATTTATCATTGCTGAAATTCAGTGAGCCGACAGAGATCGACTGGCCTCGGATGGACTTTAGCTTTTCCTCATTCGCTTCTCAGGAGAGACACCCTGCACGACTGCGCCAACAACACCAGAACGAGCTTTTTAGGAAGTCACGTTCACATCGGTTTACTCTCAGCTTCAGAACATGTTGGTGTCTCCCCGACCCGGTCCGTTTGGCTCAGCTTGAGCTCGAATCAGATGTTAACAAGATGCTAATGTTAAAACACAGAAATGCTCTAATATTAGAATATAAAAACATGCTAACATTAAAACACAGAAATATACATTAAGTATATATAAATATAACATTAAGACAGAAAAACATGCTAAAGTTCAAACACAGTAATACACTAACATGAACAGGAACATGCTAAAACATGCTAATGTTAAAAACCAAACATGCTAGCACATTAACCCATATGGGAAAAAATCCAAATGTATTTATCCAATACATTTTTGCATTAAATTTATTTTAAAATGTGTTTATTTGTATATGTATTTTTAACGAAGCTTACAGATGTGAACTAAAAAGGGAAAGTTCATCAACAAACTTCAAGTTGGCTTGAAAAAGCCAGCTTAATACTTTAAAACATTTAAATGGTCGAAGACTGCTGATGAAATTAAATGCTTCCTTAATCCCACTTCTACCTTAAATCCACAGACACTGTAAATTCTCTGGCACTTTAAATTTACTGATACCTTAAATTCTTTGCCATCTTTAATTTAGCAAAATCCATTACCAAGTTAAATCCAGTGCCACGCTAAATCTCCTGCTACCTTAAATGCACTGCCACCGTAAATTCACTTCTACCTTAAATTAGTGCTACCTTAAATGCAGCTCCACCTTAAATTCAGTGCTACATTAAATGTAGGGCTGCCTTAAATACATTATTTGCACTGATATTGCTGTGCATTTGGCTTTATTCTAATATTTCTCCACCAATCTGCAGTGGTTCAAAAATCAGATATGGCATATCATTATCTCCAGTTTCCCAAAGACTACAGTCAAAGTCATGTGTGGTTGGAGAGGGGGCGTATAGCACCCTGCAATCCTGTACAGTTTGAAGGCAGTTACTCTGATTTTCATTGAGTTACAACGCTCTAAATTTCTCCATCCCTCTGGACCTCTGTTGTGGGAGAGCATCTCAGCAAGGCCGCCTAGTGTGCGCCCAAGTCAGATACAATTTTGCCAGATCCGTATATCCGGTTCCCTGAAAGCTAGCAATGCGATCCAGGGCTCGTTGGCAAGGACACGTCACGCTCCACTGACCTTTTATTCAGGATGATCATCAGTGTTTATTCACCGCCGACTCGACTTTCATTACAGAACTGTCAACTTTGGAAAACCGGCAGCATGCAAACCCCTAAATGTCACACATTAAATTGACTAAGCCCTCCATTCTGTTAGCGTAGCAGGAAGCTAACTGCTAAATGACAGCTGCCTATATGTCAGCATTAGCTAAATTATAGCAAGCAAACTAAGGCTGAATTCACACAGTGAAACTTTCATGCAAATTTATTTGCTTAAAACCTTTATGAGACTAAACTGCACTTGTGTTGCATAATGTAAAGCATCCTGCCACTCACTTAAAACTCGCAACAGTTGCAAGCATCTCACCTTTGTGAAACAAGTTTAATGAAACAGCCAATCAAAACAGCAACGTTGAATGACAATTTTTGCTGGGCAACTAAAATAAAATAGAAGCTGTTTTCTCAGCCAATAAGAAAAAAGATATCTCCTGACTGACGTCACACAAGGTTGCTAGTTTTTCAGTCAACAAACATAAACACTTAAAAGAGAAAGATTTTAAAACATTTCTGAGTAATTAAATGGTTAAGATGTAAACATTCAGAGTGGTTTGGTGTGAAACGCTCTGTTCTAGAGAAACTAACCGAGTCAGAATTGTTCACAGTGGTGGTGATAGGAACCAGACGTCCACCTCTAAAAGCTCCCTCACAGAAAGTTCCTACATGAAATGGTTATGAATTCACTGCCTGATGACTGAGACACTGTTTTATGATAGTTTAGAGAACTTAAACTCCATTCATGGTGGAGGGATACATGCAGGGCGCTGTGAGGCAAAATAGTCCCCAAAGAAAACTTATTATTTCAGATTTTCCACTATTTTCCATCATCGACATTCCATATAAACTCAGAAGACTCGTGTAGGTTCACTGGTGGTTCTGGATAGTTAATAAAATGTCTATATTTGTGTTGTAGTCATGGCGACCCCTGGTTCCTATCACCACCACTGTAAAGACATCTGAACCATTTTACACCAAACCGCTCTGAATCACTCTAATTACATCTCACACACTGAATTATGGAATTTTGAAAATTCGTGGAATTCCACTTTAACACAACAAATAAAAACTCAAATATATAATAACGAACCTAAATAGATAAAAGACTAAGATATAGAAAAAAGTACAGCAGTGACAACTGAAAACATTCTCTGGATTCACTGAATCTTTCGATGATATTGTAGCATCTTGGTGAAAAAGAGCCAGAGGGAAACATTGTGCATGCAGGCAAATGCTCTTTTACTGAACAGACAGCAAGAGAGAACCGCCGCTCAGTGCTACTCAAGCGGTCAGGATAGCAGGCTGTATACTTTCTCTTTGTGGTGGGCACTAACTGCCCCACAGCCCGGCACAAACAACACTGCTACACATGTAACGTCCACAACAATATCCGGTCAAATGTATCTCTTATATTGGGAGCGCAGCACCTCCCGTGAGCCTCTTTGCACGGCCAGTTTGCATGACTATGCCTCCTGCACTCCCACGGCAGTGCGGCCAGCGACAGCCTCCACAATATCATGCACCATATAGGGTGAAATCCCTGAAATCATTGCAGTCACTCTCTGAGGAACCCTGGATTAAACCTTTAACTATTTAAAAACCATTTAAAACAATGTTGGACTATTTGCTACTGGATTTTGTTTTGGCAGAGAGGCGAGACTCCACCCATCCTCACTCATACAGGACTCGGCCTTTCCTGGGGGCTTTTTTTATGTCCAAGCATGACTGCATCACCTGTTTAAGAACATTTCACAGTGGTTCTCATCTTAAATTGACTCCTTTTTCAGAACACGTTGCAGACATCAGTTTCAAAATGAGCAACTCGCTGCTGTGTGAACAAAACCTTGTATCTCCATTTTTGTCGTTTTTCAGTTTTTGACATGGTTGGAAAATGCCTGTTGTACTTTACACTGTATGTAAATTTCATGCCAAATGAACGAAAAGAAACAGCCCAGAATGACCTAGAAAAACGTCTGGTTCCCTTGACTTACATTAAAAGTAAAATCTGTTTTTCTTTCTCTTGTAAAGTTACCATATGGAAATACGAGGTTTTGTTCCGACAGCAGTGATATATTTACAAAGAACACACTGCAAAAAATGGCATCTTGTCAAGTGAAATGATATTAAATCTAGTTGATATATCTAATATTTCCCATTTTGAGATGGTTGTGCATTTATTATAAGATTATCTTGTTTATTTATAGAGATTTATTACCTGATTTAAGTAATTTTATTCAGTAAAATGATCTCACCATTCTGGCAGATAATTTAGCTAGTTTCAAGCTCATTTCTTACAACAAGGAAAATTATCTGCCAGTATAGTGAGATAAATTTACTAAATAAAATTACTTAAAACGAGTGAAAACTGTCTAGAAATAAGAGAAACGATCTTAAATTGAGCTTAACAATTTCAACATGAGAAATATTAGATTTATTAACTATACTTAACATAATTTTACTTGACAAGACAACATTTTTTGCAGTGCAATTAAGTTGATAAGATAAAACATTACGTATCTTATCTCGATATTGTTTATGTTTACATGCAGGTCAATGTAGATTCATACATCACTGCTTTCTGTTTTCATTTGAATTTTACCTTCTTTACCAACTTTTGGGGATTTGGCTTTGTACAGACGGTTGGTCTGGTTCTCGAATCCATTCTAATCTTGAAGTGAACTTCTTTAAGCCAGTTGGTTTGATTTGAAAAACCTTCTAGAACGCACTGCATCAGTTGGGGCACAGGCTGGTTTAGTAAAGTCTTTAGTAGAACCATGAACACTCAAAGAACCAGTTGCATGATTTATTGATTCTTTTCTTGGTAAAATGGTTCTTCAGACTGATGGAGAACGTTTTGCAGATGGTTGTATATGGAACCTTTTTGAAAAGGGTTCTCCATAGCACCAAAAAAGTGCTCTTCTGTGTTCTCAAGCTTGACAACAACAGCAGAACCCTTTTTGGTGCTACATAGGACCATTTCACCATGCAAAGGATCATGTGAGCATGCAAATGGTTCTTTGAGTGTACATGGTTCTATACAGAACCAATGAAGAACCATGTACATTTTAAGTGTGTTTAGTGAAATATTAGGGGATGAACATTCTAGTGCACTAGGCTGATTTTCCAGTGGGACACTAGAAAAGGGATGAATCCCTAGTTCGTTTTCTACATACAGAACAGGGGTTGATTTGGGACACAGCCTTCAAATCTAAAATTATATTTACTAAATCCAGACTGGGTTTTTTTTAGCCAAGTGATCCGTCTGTAAATGGTGAAGCGAGTCTTGCTCCATGTTGCTCTGGACTCCTGCTGTTATATCTTGGCTGTAAGTGGACACTGGAGTGACATGGGCGATGCACACTTCCGAGTGGTGAGGGGAAGCGGATGAGCCCGTTTTGAAATCAGTAATGAAACAGCGTGTGCAGATGTGCCCCACTGCCTGCCAGTCTGACCCCAAATCACCATTAATCTGTAATTTTACGCTCC